CTCTCTTCTCCCAGGGGGAGGGTGGGGCTGGGCCTTGCGTCCCCGCAGGCTCTTCGGCCGGAGTGCCCGGGCGGCCGCCGTCCTCCGGGCCTGGTAGCACTGTGGGAGCCCCCCCCCGACACGCGTATACACGCACACGTGCTCACGCAGCTGCACACACACTCGCATGTACACACTGCCTCTCCGTCCCCTGCCCCGTAAGCCGGTGGCATCTCGTGGGGCATCCCAAGCCTTGCACCCAGGGTGCCCACGTGGGCAGTGATCGGGAGCTGTGCTTTCAAACCTGGCTCGAGCTCGGGTGGGCTGCATCCCACTCCCCCCCCCCCCGGGCCTTGACAGCTGCCACCTGCCAAAGCTCTTGCCTCTCAGAAACCACCGCCAGTGTCTCTGGGTCCGTCTGGACTGCAAATTGGCACAGCTGACTCCTTTCTCTCATCTCTTTCCAACTGTAGAGATGGGGGAAAAGAGAGTGGATCTGATCTGACTTGGCCTGTGGGGCCTTCCCTATTGTGAATGAGTGGACAGTAGGCTAAATCAATGGATTTGGGGGCTTTTGTACTGATTCTCCAAATAAGGAAGAAAAAAAACGGGGGGAGGGGAGCAGAAGGGGGATAACAAGATCTTTGGAGGTCTGGTTTGTGGTAGCGCCGTTGATACTACTGTATCTGTGTGTGTCTCTGTGTGTGCTTGGGGTGGTTGGGATGCATTTTGGAATGTTATATCTGTTATGTCATGGGTTGGACTCATTAACAAATCAAAATCTTGTTTGAAGGTTGACAGGAGGGTGCTAGAGCCAATACGGAAGATGAGCGAAGGTGGCAGTAATCCAGTAGTGGCAGTAATCCAGTATCAACTGGCTATGGCGGGCTGTTATAGAAATCCTGCAAATGGCACTTTTTATTTAGCAAATCCCATTGATTTTTGGTATTAAAAGCACTGCTGTTTCATATAGGAACAACCAGCTCTGAGCTTTCCACATCTCATTAAATACTAGTTACACTAATACTTAGAATGTGCCCTAGGCCTTGTAATGGCGCTGTGGGAGCTCCTTGAGCAGGTTTGAAACTGAGAGGACCTGGTTGGTTTCAGAGCTGCTCCAGCCTGGGCAGTTTTTGACTGGGTTCATTTGGCAGTTAGAAATAAATTGTATATAGATTAGTGTGCATGTGACTCAATGGTGATGAGAATTTGAGTACGGGAATAGGACTGAAAGAAAGGAGAAAATGAATATATGGGGAAGAAGAGAATGAAAGTAAGTGAGGCGGTTAGAAAGCCATTGAGTCGGGGAGAGTGATGCTGACAGCAGCAGGGGCATATAGATGCAGAAAAAAGAATAGGCCAGGAAACAAAACAGGTAAAGTCCAGACTGAGCACGTGGTCTGCTCATATCACTGGTGATATGACAGTGTGACTGAAGTGCCTGCTATAATTGAAGCATTATGGATGCTTTGATGGACTGTCAATGAAAGTTTCAGGTTATAACCCATGATTTTCTTCAGAAAATGTCAAAGGCCTCATGGTTGAAAACATTCTGCATCCTAAAAGACAGCTTATGGTGCAGAAACATGTTACATGGCAGAGTGGTTAAGGTGTTTCGCTACAGCTTCAGCGGTGTATATCTGAGCTTCATTCTAGACTTCTGCCAAAAGCCATACCTAATTGCCCTAGCTGTAAATGAGTACCTGGTCCTTTGACTGAGGAGTCAAAGACAGATGGAAGCAATGCTCCTTTGTGTTCTGTTAGCCCCAGGAACTGCTGTACCTTAACCAAGCCAGGCTGATAGGGAGTCTAGCCTGGAAATGACCTCTCTCCTTGATTTATTCAGATAAATGTTTTAGGATCACTGGGTTAGTGATAGGAGAAATTGCATGTAGAAAAAAAAATATAGAAGAGCTTTCACTTTTAATAGTGACCGTGTTATATATTCTCTTGATTACAAGTTGTGGCCCCCAAAAAATGACCAAAAATAAGGTGTAACGCTCAAACTTTGTGTAAAACTGGCCCCCAAGTTGAAACAGTTTAGAACTATTTAAATTAAAAGCTTTGTCATCTTTGGTGTTATACAAAGCTTCTGCAAGAAATATATTTGAAACTACTCTTTCTTCACAGAAGTCATGAAATATTTATATTCCAAAAGAATGTGCACCGTATAAAATGTTCTTGTTTAATATGAATTAGCCTTAATTAAAAATGTTCTATTTAAGATTAATAAACCATATGACCTTTGCTTTTATTACTGATATGATCAGGGCACTAGTTATCCTTGCTGGTAACTGTTGTTACTAGGGCTGCACCAATAAAGATTTTCTTGGCCGGTACCGATAGCTGATGATTAACCAACCATATTGACCAATGCCAATCTGATAACCGATATATAGTAATAGTTAAAGGCATTTTAAATTACTGACATAAATAAACCTTTTTTATTTAAAGCTTTGCAGAGCAACTCAAAACATTGTATTGGGCATTCTGCGGCCCAGGAGCCACCTTCTGCCTGCTTTGGCCCTTGATGAGGAAGGCAATGACCACCTTATTCCCATGCACATCACCCCCTCACCCAGGGTACCTACCCGCAGCCCCAGTCCCCACATAGCCCATACAGTCTTTCCTGGCCGATGGGGCAGACCCTTACGCGGACAGTGGCACTGAGCAAATCTGGAGCCTGAAACCCTGCTGGTGCCTCAGTGCCGATGGGCCCATGCAGCTGAACTCCCATGGCCACCAGGGAGAAGCCACTTTTGCAAAGCTGCTTGGTGCCTGGCGGAGTGAGATGTCCCTTGCATGGGTCCTTACCCTGCCCCTACACAACCGAACGTCTCTGCAGCAGCCCCAGTGCTCAGGCCTCTGCTGCGCACGTGGTATTAATGATCCTTTTGTTGCTGAGTGCTGTGCCCTGTGGCCGCTCCCTGGTACCCTTCCCCTTCTCGCTGCTCACCAGGACCTGTAGTCTCCTGTGGGCTTCGGCTTACAGCAGGGCGTGGGTCCAAACTACACTCGCCAGGGTGTTCCAGGTACGCGATAATAATTATCAGCTGCAACGACCAAAAAAAGCCGATAGCCAATAACGTCACTTCTCCTTTTATCGGTGCCTATCTGATAGCCAACCAATATATCGATGCACCCCTAGTTGTTACTAACAACTGATAAATTACAGATTCAAGGTTGGTTTTTTAGAGGGCTTGGAATTATACATGCATGCCTACAGTCGGAGAAGGTGTCTGTACTTTGATGGTGCTGTTCCCAAGTTTACGATGGAAACAGTGTGCCATACCAGTAAACCCTTCTAGTATAAATGCTGTTTATACTGACAAGGTGCTTTTATCGGTATATTATGTTTGCGTGGTAGTGAAATAAGCTCTGTTGACCAAAGCATCTATATGTCAGTATAGCTGTGGATACTCTAGGACAGGGCTTCTCAGTCCCTAGGCTGCAGCCCAGTGCTGGGCCACGGCAAGTCAGCTGCCAGTCCACAGCACGGTCAGCTGCTGGACCAGAAGTGGCCGTGGACCGGCAAACTGTGATGCCCCAGAGTCAGGCGGAGAGCCCGCGGCTCCTTCTGCAGGGCCCGCAGCAGCGCAGGGGTTGGCCCACCCTCCTACCCAGGGGTGGGGGTATCCTTACCTGTCTTCCGGCTGGAAAGTCTTGCCGCGGTTGGCTGTGACTGCTGTGCCACGGTTTGCCAAGCCTCAACCGCTTCCAGGCTGCGGTTTGCCGGGCCATGGCATAAAAACTTTGGGAACTCCATCTCTAGGATTTTGTTGTTGTTGCTGTTGGAAGGGAAATATTGCAAAAGAAACCCTCATCCATAATTGACATTATTATGCTGACAGATATTTCTTAGTAAGTCTGGCCTGTAACATCTATTTTATTAAGGTGTATCATCTTGCATCACTGTAAAATTCTAGTTATGGTGGAACTAAAAAAAACCAAAACTGTGTTCACAGACCAGAATAACTGTTCACATGATGTTGTTCCCTGTGGAACTTAAATATTTTTTTGTTATAAGAATTGTAATAATGCTGCACATATTTGCCCATATATATTACCCAACCTGGCACAGAGAGAAGAAACTAAAATCTAATTACCTGTTGGAATTATAGTTTCTCAGCTCTGTTGAGTAAATGTAAGGCTACTCCTCAGGGCTCCTGCTTCCTCATTTTGTGCTCGTGTAATCTAGGAAGCTGTCCTTTGGAAATCTTGTTTAGTAACACGTGTGGAAGGAAAAAGGAAACTGAGGAAATTTATTTTTCAACGAGACACATCAGAGTTAGAAAAGGCTACAAGGAAAAATCAAGGACATCATTCTTATCTGTCAGGTATCTATCTTTGTTAAGGCTTGCTCACTCTTATTTCTCAAGTATTTGATCAGTATATACCAATACTGAGAGAGAGCTTGTGTTTTGGGCACTGTCATGGTGCTTGTTCTACTAATGACTCTGACATTTCAGCATATTACCATCATTTGACAGTTCATGTAGGCTGTCCACCTGGACAATTAATAAAGTCATACAGTCAGTAAAGGGCAAGCACATTAGTAAATGGCCACAATGGGGTTACAGGAATTGCTGCTTCCTGATAAATTGCTCTAAATCTCATTTTTGGCTGACCAGTTATTT